TTAAAATCATGTAATATTTGAAGATTGTAATGTAGGGTATGCTTTTTCGAAAATTTATGATCATCATATCATACGGATTGGAATATGTAAGAATGATAATGCATGCATGGTTGTTATAGTGGTCATATATATGCACTATGTGGATCATGTGGGATGCAAATCATGCAATTTTTGAACATTGCAATGTAGGGTATATATGCTTTTTGAAATATTTAAGATCATAGAGATTTGGAGTATGAAATTTTAAGATATGGATTGGAATGTAAGAATGATATATAATGCATGGGTCCCGAAAGAGGTGACCGAATATGTGAAGTATGATTCTAGTATCCGAAGGTCACAAGTTTGATTCTTGTCAATATCATGTATGATTTATTGGTTTCTAAGCTATTACAGTACTAGAGCATGATTTACCACAAGAAAAATAATTTACCTATGAAAAAATTATTGGTATTTTGTTGTTTTCTTGTAGTGCTAGTGTAAACTACCGGCAGTATTTGAAGATTACAATGTAGACAACAATTGAAAAATTGAACCTAACTTTAAGGTTCCGGTCAATAGAATTTGTTTTAGAGTTTATAACTTATTTTCAATTACAAATAAAGTATAAGCTCTGTTTAGTAAAATATGGAGAGATTAAAATAATCGTTTAGGGGAGACTAATTTGATTCTGAACCGGTTTGTGGTCACTTCTATTTTAAACTCATTGCTATTACTAAGTAAATGATTTTAATATTTGAATCAAATGCTCCTAATTTCGTTTTTGAAATTGAGTATGTTCATTTTCACACATGATAGGTCATTGAAGGAAGGTTCCAAAATCTCAATTCCTACCACTGCACACTACTTTGCTTTTCTATTACAAAATCATAATCAATTTTATATTCTGTTATATATAACCCCTAAAAATTAGATATAAGGAAATACAAATCAAACTTTGTAAGAAAAACTTCAAATGTCAAAGGGTGCTAGTAAAAATTAGATATAAGGAAATACAAATCAAACTTTGTAAGAAAATGTTCAAATATCAAAGGTGCTAGTAAAAATAACAATTTATTTTTCTTTTTCATAAGAAAGAGTTCATTTACCATTTACAATTTATAAGTCAAAAATGAAAATAGTTTAGTTTTCTTAAAGTTTCATATTCAAGTCTTATGTACAAAACAAAAAATATTTGAAGAGTTAATACACATTTTGGTCCCTTGACTATTGAGTATTGCATAATTTAGTCATTGACTTAGAAAATAACTTAATTTGATTCTTTGACTTTAAAAATCAACTCAATGCCAAATTTGAAGGAAGATTAGGGGTCGACATCTTCTCAAACATTCCACCACTTTACCCCGCGACTCCACCCCTGCATCCACCGTGGAAAACCTGAACAGTATAGCTAAGCTAAACTAGTATATATATATATATATATATATATATATATATATATATATATATATATATATTGAGCCTTCCTTGAATGTGGCACTGAACCCTGGTTACTTTCGGTTGTGTATGGTAGTCCCAATGCAAGTCTTCGTAAATATATATATATATATATATATATATATATATATATATATATATATATATATATATATATATATATATATAGAGGATTATTTTCAAATACAAACCTCCCTTAAAATACAAACTATGTGCATGTAAGTATGTTAATGTGTGCACGAGCAAATCGTAGATATTGTTGGTAGTCTGCCCAGTGTGCATATAAGTATGTTAATGTGTGCACGTGCTTTTAGCGATGGTTGTGATTTTTCCTCCTACGCGTTGTGTGTATGCAAGTATGTTAATGTGTGCACGATCTTTGATGGTTGATTGTGATTTTTCCTCATACGCGCTGTGTGCATGTAAGTATGTTAATGTGTGCATGTAAGTATGTTAATGTGTGCACGAGCTAATCTCATAAATTGTTGGCAGTGCGCCCTGTGTGCATGTAAGTATGTATAATGTGTGCACAATCACAAGTTTTTATTTTAAGGGGAGTTTGTATTTTAAGGGGGTTTGTATTTGAATGAAACCCTATATATATATATATATATATATATATATATATATTGTAAAAATTAAGTGGTTTTGATATAATGAGACAATAGAACACATATATTTCTTCATGAAAAAAAAAAAAAAAAAAACTTTCCAAATGGCAATATCCTGTCTCTCCTGGCTCATCTTGCCCATATCAAATCAACAACATTGTAGCTATATATGCCTCTCTGATTCAACAAACACCTAAAGTGCGGTTCCAGCAACTTTACTTCGATCCTCTGCAAGGTTTTCAAACATCGTCCACAACCTCTCTTTATCCACCAACATCATCAAAATAGCAAGTAATTAACACATTTTAGGTGTGGTATGAGGGGATTGTGTAGATTTAGGTGTGAGGTGAGGAAAAGAATATATGCAGCTACTGCAACATGATGCCATATTGTTTGCTCGATATCTAAAACATTAATGTTCGTTGTCTTTGAATTAGGATAGAGTCAAGAGACAATGCCTGAGAAAGGGGTTGAAACACGGTGAATGACCATTCTACCGTTCAATTTAATAGCCTTTTGAGAAATTTTGTAACGAATGACTAAATTGAGATGATTTTTAAAGTCAAAAGACTAAATTGAGTCATTTTTAAAGTCATGACTAAATTAAGAAATACTTAATAGTGGAGTACCCAAATATTAACTCCATATTTGAAAAGCTTTTGTCATATTAGTTTAATGTGCAAGTCTCATAATGGATCAACCTTCAAACAAGTTGAAGAACTTGTCTTTACTTCAAATGCTATTCACACTTTTTGTTTTCAAAAGTCAATTTAGAGTGACTCTCATGCAAATTAAAATCTTTTGATCATATAAAAACTATTCGATAAGAACTTAATTTGATTTTTAACTAATCAAAATTTATTCATTTATATATATTTTTTTGATTGCTATTGATTATATTATCTTGTGTTCAAATGACACGTAGTGATCTCTCTATATGAGAGATTATAAAATCGAATTTTAGTGGAAACGTTGTTGATTTTTTGTGCTTTAATAGGTTGAAAAAGTATATTTATGCTCTAAATTTATTCATTTAGATATTAATCATTACACCATTTAAAAATAATTTACTCATGATGAGTCATTGTAGGAAGGTTCCAATTTCAATTATTATAACACCACACTTTACCCCACATCTCTTACCACTTGATAGTGAAAGTTATCTAACTTTCTTGATCAGCATTCATTTAGCATCTCAGAAGTTTCCCCGGGGATCAGCTATCTCATTCTTTTTCTGTCTTTTGTATGCTTTTGAACAAATTGTATCAATGTATCTATGACTATTTTATATTAAATCATTAACAACAACCATCGGTGTATCATATTTAATAATATTCATCATTTACTATGTTTATAATATTTATTTTATGTATTTATAAACCTAAGTCTTTAGTGTAGATAAACACTAAACTTTTGATACATCATTCATCTTGTACAATGTTTATAATATTTGATCTAAATAATCGTAAAATATCTTCGTGTACATAAACAATAAACTACATGTACATTATATATGTTTCTATTCACCCTGTAGTACAGTAGATTCATAATCTTTTTTCTATAAATTTATCAAAACAAAGTTAACATTGAATAACCATTATACATAATATATATTATGTATTTTTTTGGCAAAATTATACTATTGATAAAATTCAATTTCTAGACCTCCCATAATAACAAGAAACTTATTACCAACCATTCAACCAAGCAACTACAACATTCTTCCGTCCTGAATCGCGATTTTTCTGGTAATAAAAGTAGTATACCAAATCACGCATAAATAGTTAAATACCAATTATAGCAAAGTCCAACTTAAAACAAAAACACAATGTTTAAACTCCCAAAAAAAAAATCTTAAAGTTTTTTAATGCAAAAAAAAAAAAAAAAAAAAAAAAAAAAAAAAAAAATCTTAGGTTAAAACAATTAAACATTCTATAATTTTTCAAACTTAAGGATGTAAAAGGTCTTCTACATTTACGAATTCATCTTGACATATTACGATGACTGAAGAATACTAAAGAGTGATACTAGAAAGCAATGGTAGTAAAAATGCAAAGAAGCAATGAACTAGTCTTTAGGTTTTAATTTAATTAATTAATTTTGACGCATGAATTTTTTTAATTTTTAATTTAGGCCGAATATGTATTTTTGAAATTTTGATTAAGAAATAATTTGAAACTTTTTCAAGTTCTTTTTATTAATTAAGAAACGATACAAATTTGCTCCTGCAATAAGTTTACAAGAATTTCAAAAATGAAATGTAATCAAAATTAGAAAACACTATGCTCTTAAAATCTTTGTGTATCACAAATCACTATCAAAGAATTCTCATGATCAATTTATGACTAGATAACGTGTTAAACCTGAGATATGGATATCAATATGACAATATGTGCACAAGCTATGCACACAACCAAATGTTAAATTATACTTACTACTAGTAAAGAACATATAAAATAAAACAAAAACTGATAAGGAATACTTAAAAAAAAAAAAAAAAAAAAAAAAAAAAAAAAAAAAAAAACTACTTTAACTCTTATTTGAATCTTATCAAAACAAGAATGGATGAATTTGTTATTATTATTGAGAATATCTCAGCCTCAAGCCCCCTTTTTCCTTCTCCCAAAAAGTCGAATCCCCAATCGCAATAGGCAATAGCCCACCACACCCCAACTCAACACAGCAAAGAATCTGTCCACTTTGAATATAATCCCCACAATACTACTACCAAAAATCAAACCTTAGTCTCAAGCCCCCTTTTTTTTTGGTAAGGGGCTATGGTGTATATTCCAATCTTTACAATAGCATCTTCTTCAGCCGTTTCCTACCCCTTGCGCTATCAAAAATCATTAGATTCACCAGCTTATAGCAAAAGGAATACTACTGCTATATAATCAGTATCACAACAGCAATATATCATAATGATGAGAGGCAAAACCAAAGCCTCCATAATGAAGAAAAACCAACAATATTAGTATATTATTGAGAAAGGGGATGCAGACTTGACCAACCCAGAACTGCAGTGGTAGATACCAGTGGTCAAGTTAATTCATTAGCCCAATTTTCCTTCTCTTCTTTTTACACTGGACTGGATCCATTTATTCAAGCACAAGAATTTTTCAAACAAAATTCACACGACCTCTAGTGCAACCTTCAAAATGAAAACCGACTTCCATGGGCTGTAAAATATTATTGGAAGCCTATATATGGCTGAATTTACAAGTATCCTCCTCCTCAAAGGAACAAGGAGACCTTGACAAAAACTTAGTATCAAAAACAGCAATTAGAATATTAAGGATGGATGATCTGTAAAGGAGGAAGCATAATGCAGAAATAGATGAGAGGTGCAGTTGTCTTCATCGTGATGGCCAAAAGATAAAATTCTTCTCAATCACAAGCCTCCTCCCAATTATCTACCACATCAGCAGCATTGCCTTCATGCTGTGGTTGCCCCTGCAAATCTGAACTCTGTGCTTCGGTTTCACTATCAGACACTTGATTAGGTGCAGACTTCTTCAAAGAGCCCTTCACCGTGCTAGATGTTGTAGCAGATGAACTTGGAGCGGTTTCGGTGTCTAGAACGCTCCACCTGTTGCTTGAAGCAGCAAGCGCAGGGGCTTCTTTCCCCTTCCAAACTCCGGGGGGTTCCATGTTGGAAGAAGAACTATTGGTCCACTCTTCGGAGCCCCATGTAGTTTCCCTCTGGTTTAGCTCCTGGACTACGGCCTGCTTCCATGCGTTATCCTTCAGCATTGGACCTCCACCAGCATCCTTGTTCACACTAGACCCTCCCCAAGCATTAGATGTTGCTGGGGCAGCACCAATCTGAGGAACTCCAACAGCACCATAATAAGCAGAACCTTGATCTAATCTCCTCATAGCAGCTGAGGCTCTGGCAGGATCGCTGAACACGGCCAATGCATTTTTATCATTCAGCCAGACAAGCTCACATTCCCCACCAAACCTCAGCACCAATGCACTTATATCTGCATCTCTTGGCAAGTCAAAAAGTGCAACAACAAGCCTAGGATCCATGTCTACCAAAGGGTCGAAAATTGCAGGCTGTAACATACTACTGGCTGTGCAACCCTTAGCACCAAGTATACGAGCAGGTGCTTTGGACTTTGGCGTAGCATGTACAACAACAAACCGCTTCGGCTCCCACCCAGCAGCACTGACTGTGAGCTTCCACCTTTCAGCTATCAGTGTAACAGCATCCCGCTTTTCCTTCAGCATTGGGCAAAAGACATGAACTTTTAGGGCATTAACTCCACCTCTGCCCCTGCCAAGGACCAAAAACTTGCATCTTTCTTCCACAGAAAACACCCATTTAGAATCACGCCTGAGAAGGTCTGAAAGCACCTCTGAAACAGCAGTATTCTCGCCAAAATGAAGTGCATCTGAATTTGAGGAATTGATACCAAAAGCATCAGCTAGAACCTTCTTCTTCTCCATCTTTGCACATTCATCATCACAACTTAGCTTCCTCTGACCAAGTGGAACTTTCTTGCCATTTGCCTCAACAGGTTGAAGTGGCGATGTCAACTTTTGTAATATTGATGCTTCAAAAATACTGTCAGCACTATGTCCACCATTACTGCCGCCCGCATCACATGGAACACTAGCAGTTATCCGACCACAAGAACAAGAAATAGAGACAGGGAACTCACATCTAGTGTCGGGACATGGGGTGGATGGGTGACACAGAGCAGTACATGTGTGTCTACAATCTCTCCGAGGAGCACCACATGTCTGACCACAAGAAGCTCTTGAACCAGCATTGGCCCCTGCAGAAGAATCACAAGGTGCAGGATGACATGTTCTAGCACATGCATGCAAGCCACACTGCCTGGTCTTGCCACAGAGTTTGTTGCATCTGATGTCCTTCGATCCACAAGGTATATTCCTAAGAACCACATGTCCACCAATGCATTCCTTCGCTATGGGAACCGCACATGGCGGACAGTCCCCAAAGTGGCAACTGTGAGTGGATGAATGACCACATGGCTGAGGAATTGAGCATGGGTACTGGCATGAAGGAGAAGGTGTCCCACATGGCAATGGAGGAGGTATCGAAGTCCTGCCACAAGCACAAGTCAAATCATTGAAAATTGTTTCAAGACAAGGAGGACAATGACCACTGTGACAAAGTGACTCGCAAGAATGCTGTCCACATCTTAGTTTCTTCCCACAAGGCATTGAGCAGAAATGTGGATCCCAATCACCAGTGAGGGAATGGTTAGGATTTGAAAGAGGGCAGCAGCGTTCACTGCATCGGTGTCTTCCACAACTCTTCTTCCGCCCACAAGGCCTATCACAAGTAAATATATCATCCTCTGCAAATGTTCTGTAACACTCCACAGTACGAGAAGTTGATCCACATCGACATCGTTGAGTTACAGGCACATGACATGGTGCACAATCACCAGAATGGCACACCTTTTCACACCTGTGTACCCCACAACGAAGTGTTTTAGTACAAACTTCTGAACATGTTGGAATTGGATCCAAACAACTGTTTCGAGCTTCTGTTAAGCTAGTTTTTCCACACCAGCATGTCTTGACCTTGATGGGCGATAAGGCACAATCCCCACATGGGCCTGGGTGGCATATTTCATGACAAACATGGTTTCCACAGCTAAGTTTTTTCTCACAACGTGAACTGCAAGAAAAGACACCATTTTCTACTTTGATTTCCCCCTTCACAGCCATGTCACCGCAAAGAACAACCTCAGTCTTCTTTTTGCAGAAACAAGAAGCATTAACAAGAACTTGACAATGGTCACAAGGACCAACATGGCAAATTCGTTCACACTGGTGGCGACCACAAGCAAGAAGCTTGTCACAACGTTGTCCACAGGTAAGAACAGACTTCCTATCAGAGCATCTTGTGGTAATCACCTTCTTTCCACACGGACAGCTTCGTGGGGGAGCAAATGCTTTACAAGGAGGACATGGTCCAGGATGGCACTGCAGGACACAATGATGAGGGCAAAGATCTTCTTTGCTCATGCCAGAACCAGGAACTTCCTTCTCCAGTGGCTTCCCACAAGGCTCCCCACAAGAATGTGGTGTTAAATACAAATCAGAGGGCGGGTCCTGCCTTTTCCGACAAAAGCAAATATAGCGGATATCCTTAGAAGAGGTGAGTTGCACATATTGACAACCAGGGCACCGCCAATTAAACCCTTGATTCTTCTCAGCTGATAAGTCAACCGATGTAGGAGCCCTGGCCCATTTCTTGATACAATTCAAGTGAAAGATTGAGTAACAGCTAGAACAAGACCAAATTGATGCAGACCTGCGAACCATATCATAACAAATCATGCACTCAACTGTTCCTTTCAAGAGCTTCTCCTGAATTTCTTGTACAAGCTGAGGCAAGTTAGGGTCATTTAACTGTTTACTTTCATTGTTATGATCTGGCTCCTTCACCTTCTCTGCCTTGTTCCTTTCGCCACTATCCTTATCCCTTCCCGTTCCCCTATCTCTCCTTTGATTTGCATATCGAACCACATTCCTTCGAGGACCTGTATAGTTCCTACTCCGATAGACTTGTGGAACTGATCTATCATCCAATTCTCTGCCATTCCCAACTGAGCTCAAATTATCAACAGCTACAGCAGGGCTCTCCACAGTGGTTGTCACAGTGGCAGTAGGGGCGGTGGTGGAGGAGGAACCACGGGGAACCCACTCCTGTCTAGCAGTTTGACCAGGATAGTTTCTACCCCTACGGCTATTATCTGACCGGTTACTTTGGACTGAAAAGTTCATATTCTGATCCAAAAACTCTGAACACCCTATATCACTCTCCAAAGCGAGTCTGATTCTCGAATCCAAAACCTTAGCCCTGTAAAACAGACAGGGAAATGTAGGAATATTCAAAAGAAATTCAAATCGGCAACCAATTTCAATTTCAATTAACGAGTTTTTTTAAAAAATGAAACTAGAGCTGTCAGCACGACTAAATAACTTTCCCTAGATGAAGACCTAACAACAACACGACTAAATAACTGTCAGCATATTATCCCCAGCAAAACCTATTAACCATAGAGAACGCCACGATATAAATTTTGATCCAGACTGCAGTTTGAATACACTGCCCGCACTTGATAGCTTATGGAAAGAGAACATACACGGCAAATTTGAATAACTGCGATGAATTTCCAATGCTTGACCCGACACGGCCGTGTGGTCGTGTCAAACACTGGAATTTCAATGTTCAAAAATAAAAAATTCTTTCATTCAAAAAAAAAAATCAAATCAAATCAAAAATTCCATTGCCAAATTCGCTTCAAAGGAATCAAGGCAGAAATCAGAAACTAAGCAATCAAAAATTTCCAGTCCTATTCGACACTCAAGGCTCAAGCAATCAAAAATCAAGAAATCTAAAATAAAAAAAATCAAGTTATGGCAGAAAATTTCTAATTCAAGCGAGAAATCGGAGGAGGAGGAGGAGTGGAGGAGTACCTTCGTCGACGGGAGAGGAGGCGAGGCTTGGAAACGGCGACGACAAGCAACGAGCAAGTCTCTGTGGTGTTAGATCTGGTCTCCGGTCTCCGGCGACGAGAACGGATTCTGTGCCTCTCTCGTTAGATTAGGTCTTAGGGATCTCTGTTTTACACCTTCTCTTCTGTGAGAGTGCGTGGATTTATTCGGAGAGGGGAAGAAGAAATGATTTGGGGAAGGGAATTTATAGGGCTGAGACGCATACAAGATCCTATTTGACCGTTTAAGGAAACCTGCTACTTCTATTGGCGGTGACCCATTTTATTATATTATTAGTTTACACTTTATATGTGGATTTGCTTTCATTTTTGCTTGGTGCCCAAACAATCCCATTCTATTTGCATTTTGACTTTGACCCCCTTTTTGCTTGGTGCCCAAACACATCTTTATTACTATTGATTCATCTAAATTTTTTATTCACTCCTCAAGTTACAATAGTTATACCATAGATAAGGGTCCATCCTGCAAAGTCAACGTAGATCTAAAAACACAATTTATATATTGAATGTTAATTTACATACTGATTGTTCACAATTTACATATTTAATGTTCACAATTTACACACTAAATGTTCATTATTTATTTTTTTACAAAATTGTAAACATTCAGTATGTAAATTATGTATCTTGAACCCAAATCCACCTTGCAAGGTGCACTAGGTCCACATAATAATTTGCCCAAAATAACCTTCATATTATGTATATAGCACATAAGACCCTGGTCCATGGTATAGCAATTGCAAGTTCTTGCACAAAGAGTCAATACCATATTTACTGGGGGCTCAAACCCCAATTCTCATTTGGGAAAGTCACTTCATGCCACTAAACCACAAGGTCATTGGCATAAAATCAATACCTCATGTCCATAATAATACAAAAAAAAATTCACCCAAGAATAATAATAATACAAAAAAATTGTTATTTTTCAACTAAATAATCTTAAAGCTATATCTTAACCATTATTTTTCAACTAAATAATCTTAAAACTATATCATAACCATAATTACATGTCAACCACTAAATTTATGAAATTTACAGGACGTTTGGTTAGAGAGGGGGAATTACGTTGGAAAAAAATTGCAATTCCGTGGGAGATGAATTACTGGGAATAAAGTAGGAATTTAAATTCCAGTGTTTGGTTTACAAGAATAGAATTACTGGGAATTTCAATTCCAATGTTTGGTATACAGGGGGAATTGAAAGGGAATAAGTAGTATAAAGTCAAAAATGTTCATTGTTGTTGTTAGGCATTAATTTTAAGTTAAAAAATGAAGGAGTAATTTTGACTCATCAGTATCTTTTTTTCTTCCTAAAATCTCAAGAATTAAAATCTCAAGAGGGGACATTGAATTTTAATTCCATGAATATGGGGGAATTGCAATTCCAATTCCTTTCAACCGGAATTTTGTGACCTTTGAAATTAGATGGAAATTAAGTGGGAAGAGAATTTAAATTCCCTTCAACCAAACGCCCTGTTAGTTTTAAGTTTAATTACCTACAATTTATATATTATGAACTTCGAACAATGTTTAATTACTTAACATAATATTTTTTTTTTATAGTTAATCAATTATATACTTATAGATATAAGTTTATGCACCTATGTTAACAGATTATATATATATACACTATACAAAGGTGAATGCTGAGCAAATGAAAGGAAAAAAAATAAAAAGTTACTCTAACAGCATGTTTGGTTCACGAAATGAATTTGGATGGAATATGAATGCAATTATATAGGAAATGGTATAGGTAAGGAATAGAATAAGAACTGTATTTTATTGTTTGGTTGGATGAAGGAATATACTTTAGTAATTGTATCCCAGTGTTTGGTTGGTTAAATGAATAGAAATTGAATATGTTTTAAAGACATAAATACTCTTATATAAAATAATAATAATAATAATAATAATAATAATAATAATAATAATAATAATGAATGAATGAATACTGAATGTTATATATATATATATATATATATATATATATATATATATATATATATATATATATATATATGGAAGGGATCAGGTGCATTTGTGACTTCCCGTGTGGATCTGCGGTGGATTAATGTGCGTGAGGTTTATACTTAATGTGCGTGAGATTTGTACTCAATGTGCCTGAGATTTGTACTTAATGTGCGTCATGTTAATATGCGTGAGTTTTGTACTTAATGTGCTTGAGTATTGTGTTTAATGTGCGTGTGATTTGTGCTTAATGTGCGTGAGTATTTCAGAATTACGAGTTCAGAAGGAAACAGAACATAAGCTCACACACATTAACGCCCAAGCTTCTTGTTACTTCTTCCTTCAATTTGGCCATGGATTCTGGATTATCAACTACCTTCAGTGCAGTTGAATGTTTATATAGATGACGCACGCAAAGTAAAATTTGCACAGTAGCTAAGTGTGGATTTTTGTTGTATTATTCCCATAATTCTTAACCACCATAGCCGCCTCCGCATCATCATCATCAGGGAGAGGGCAATGGCTACTGGGGATGGGGAAGAAGCTGACATCAATATTTTCTGCTGCATTTTACACATTCACGCACATTAAGTACAAATCTCAGGCACATTAAGCACAACACTCACGCACATTGAGTACAAATCTCACGCACATTAATCCACCGCACATCCGCATGGGAACCTTTCAATATATATATATATATATATATATATATATATATATATATATATATATATATATATATATATATATATATATAGAGAGAGAGAGAGAGAACTATAAAATGTGAACTATTATAATAAAATTTATACAAAATGGTCAAATAAGCTCATCCATTACTTACTAGTGTTCAATTAACACCTTAGACTAAAATAATATCTAACATAATACATTACTACTAACATTTCTTCACTTAACATTATAATCTGTTTAGGTTTCTTTTAGGAAGTCATTCCACAAGACTAACATTGAATTTAATTAAAATTGGAAAAAAGTATAAATAGAACATTAAGGGGTTGTTTACTAACTTGGAGAAATGGAGAATTTTTCAAAAAAATGGAGAAATTGAGAAGTGGAAAAATAGAAAATGGAAAACTTGTTTACTAAAATCATCCTTCCAATTGTCCAACTCTTCTCCATTTTCCAAGTCTATGTATAATTTTGGAGAGATCCAATTTGGACTTCTCCAAATGGAGAAATGGGAGAAGATGCGCGTGAACAGTGCTTATGACTAGGAGGGCGAGTGTTCGATTCCTGCAACATGCATTACTGAGTGGTTGTGTTTGTTCCTTTCTCTTCCTTCTTGTTCCTTTCTCTTCCTTCTTGTTCCTTTCTCTTCCTTCTTTTTCCTTTGTTTCCGTTTAACTTATTATTATTATTATTATTATTATTATTATTATTATTATTATTATATAATTATTTTTATTATCTTTTTTTTTTCTATTTTCATTTTTCCTCCTCTTTATGCACACAAATTTATTATTATTATTATTATTATTATTATTAATATTATTATTAATATTATTATTATTATCCTTTTTTTTTCTATTTTCATTTTTCCTCCTCTTTATGCACACAAATTTGTTATTATTATTAAATTATTGTTATTATTATTACTATGGCTCCTCTGGAGGGAATGCCACTTTGAATGAACTCATGAAATTTGACTAATATTTTATTTTATTTTAAGCATATGTATATATCATAATGGCATAATTGCGATGAATGTGGTTCATATTTTCAATGAGCATGGAAGACAATCATAATAATATACTAGGCTAATTAAAAGAGCACATTTACATTTGAGCGCATAATATGCCTACTAACTTCTGTACAGAAATGAACGCCCCAGAGGGGGGGGGGGGGGGGGCGTTTGATTCATGCTATATTATTATTATTATTATTATTATTATTAGTACCATTATTATTAATATTATCTTTGTTGTAGAAATGTACAAATTCTATATAGAATGATTGTATTTAACAAAATAGAAAATCTGAGAAATGAAAAATTGGAAGAATGGAGAAATGGAAAACTGGAGAAATGGAAAAGGAAAACTAGAGAAATGGAGAAATGGAAAACTGAAAATGGAAAAACAGAAAAATGAAGTAAACGACCCCTAAACTATTTGGTGATAGTAATTAAGCCACCAAACTCGAATAAGCTCCAAATTTATCCATGAACCCAAAGAAAAAAAAAAGAAAAAAAAAAAGAACTGATGGGCATATTAGAAACGGGCTCGGGGCAGACCAACCCGAAGAGGACTTGGCGCGACATGAGGGGCCAAGGGCGACCCCGGCAGGGGTCTGGCCAAGGTCAACCCCGGCTAAAGTCGACCCCGACTAGTGTCGACCTCGATTGGGGTCGGCCTCAGCTAGGGACGGCCACGACCCGGGGGCTTGTAGCGGAGGGCGCCTTCGGTGGAGGTGTCCCAAGTCCCGGGCGTGTGCACGCGGACTCAGTCAAACCGTTATCCAACCGCCCACCCTATTCTCATGGTGCGGTTGGGGAGCTAGCTTGTATAAAATAGCTCATTCTTGTCTTGTTTAGGACCACCTACATCTTGTCTGAATAATACATTTTCCTTGTAATTCTCCTACAAACGATTATCAATACAAAAGTTGTCTCTGCGACCTATATTTCTTGTATTTTCCCATTTTATTATTTATTCCCTATTTATCGGGTTTAATAATTCGGGCTACCCCGGGTTAATTAAATCCATCATTGGTGCTCTTGTTGAGAGTTGACATACAAGTTCGACCGTGCTCCATATTCCACTAGCTATAGCAGGGTCAAGGTCCAACTCTCATAACCCGAATGGCTCCCGCAACACCCGTGCCTCCCCGACTAGGGGCCTCAACGGGACCACCAGTCAGCAACAAACCCTTTCTTTGAGGTCGGCGGGTGACCTTAGAGATCGCATCACCAACCACCACAATGGTGTGCCAGCCCCCGCTCCCACCGCTCCTCCTCCGAATCTCATTCTCTTCTATGGGGAGGGTGGGGTGACCGCCCTTCAACAAGCCTCCGTGGCGCTAGCCCGCCTCACAGAGGGGCTCTAAGGAGGTCCGCAGTTTTATTATGTGTTATATGTGCTATTTAACTAATGTTCTTTCTACAATTGGCTGTAGGATGCAGGAGTACATGCATTGTCAAATGTTTGCCATGTAGATGTAGAAAGGATAAGCAAACATTAACCTGATGAAGTGACTTCCCAATCAGCGCAAACATGTTGTTAACCTGTTAAAAATGTTAATTGGTTTTTTTTTTTTTTTCGAGTTCATGGATGAATTTGGAATTCATTCGAGTTCGGTGGCTTAATTGATATCCCCTAAATAATTCAATGGCATATTTATACTTTTTCCCATTAAAATTAACTTTGTTGAAAATGATTTTTTTTTTTGTTTTTTGTTTTTGTTTTTTTTTTTTTTTGTTAACCTTTAAAACCAATCAAACCCTACAAAGAACATTTACATTCAATTCAAGACTTTTTTTCTTTTAATCTTTTTTTTTTTTTTTTTTTTTTTTTTTGTCTTTTCACAACATCCATCTATATACTCTCCCTCGTCAATATCTGTAGATATTTTCTTGATTCTTGATATGAAATGTCTTTATCAAGTGTATGAAAATGTCGTTGTAAGTTGAAAGTCTCAATTTACACAACTCAAGATTTATGAAGGAAATTTTATGGATGTCAAAGATGGAAGGTGTGATTATGTATATCTTTTCTATTTGTGTAAATTTTTGAATGACAGATTAGTAAATGTTTTCAAGAGAATTGTGAGTATGGTTTTTTTTTTTTTTTTTTTTTTTTTTTTTTTTTTTTTAATTTGGAAAGAACACATTTCATTTACTAGAGAAGAAAATGTGAGTGATGCACATGTTTTTGGAATGGAGTAACTGAAGAAATTGATTACAACACTGAGAAGTGAATTGATCATTGAATTTCGTGGTACATCAATATTTTTGAAAAGAAAACAAAAAATTCACAGTCTTCTTTTAAGAAATACACTCTTATGGCATTTGTCTTACGTCATCGTGAAATACCTTTATATTGGAAATTTTAAGTAATTATATTTATTGATATTGATGGGGATATGGGACATGGGGGTCCATTTTATTGGAAATTATGGGGTGGTGAAGAAAGAGGTTGGCCCAAGTCTTATTGGGCTAAGGGGACATGGTGGCCCAAAAAGGAGGAGAGAGAAAGGGTTTCGGGGAAGAAACCGCCGGCCGCGATGTGGCCGGGAGTCGGCGGCGGTGCGCCTCCGGTCGGTAAAATGTAACAAGAAGTGCGCTGCTGCCAGTGGGTTTCGAACACAGGACCTCCCGCACAGCAAGGGCGAATCTAACCATCAGCCCACGCCATCACATGTGTACCAAGACGTGACAGCATATATTTGTTCCTATAATCTCGGCCGGGCAGCCCGACCATCGGCCATGGCCGGCCGTTGGCCGGCCGGCGACTGGCCGGCGCCGGGTCCCGCCGGCCACCTCAGGCCGCGGCGCGGCCAGCGGGGGCAGTGCGCCCCCCAGATTATCATCGGCACCCCCCCCCCTTTCCCGAGGGGGTGCTGGGCGGGTGCGCCGAGCATGGTGGATCGGGGTGGTATGCGCGGGAGTTTTGGAAGTATGGAGAACGTGCCCACTTGCGTAGCGATAAATGGGGAAGTGGGGATGGATTGCATGGGACACATGGACGCCAGAGGAGGATGGGGGCTTGCTATAAATAGGGGCCCTGGATCTCTAGCTAAGGGCAACACAGACACGACCAACACTACGGTCTAGTGGTCTTGATCCATACTCTCAATCCAGTCACCTGGGTTCGATTCCCACCAGTAGCATAGTTAGCTATAGCCCACCACGTGGGCCTTATTCTTTGTAATTTGGGTCATCATTCTGGGCCTGTACCTCGGGCTTTGTACGTATTGTTTAGGGCCTAGCGCCCCGGGTAATAAAGTTAATACTTTCATACTCCCGTCCTATGTTCCTATACCCGGTTTATGGTGGACCCGGTCCTAATAAAACCATCATTGGCACCGTCTGTGGGGTTCGCTACGATTAGCCCGTGTTTGTAGTCTCTACCATCCTAGCAAGGTTCCGAGGTACGCCCAAATGGTTGATTCGCAAGAGGAGCTACCCTATAAGGTAACACACTTAGCATATCGAGACGCTACTCTGGTGAGTACACTTGAACACTTAGTTAGGTAAAGATTGTGTTTATTTTCCCGAACTATGTGCTCCTATGTGCTCTGCATGCTTGGCCCACGGCCACCTCAACTATATGCTCATATGTGCTCTGCATGCTTGGCTCGCGGCCACCTCAACTATATGCTCATATGTGTCTGCATGCTTGGCCCGCGGGCACCTCAACTATGTGCTCTGCATGCTTGGCCCACGGCCACCTCAACCATGTGCTCCTATGTGCTCTGCATGCTTGGCCCACGGCCACCTCAACTATGTGCTCCTATGTGCTCTTACGTGCTATGCATGCTGGCTCTACGGCCATGGCGGATGGGGCATGTGGGTTATCGCAACCCACATGCGCGGACTTGCCCCCGGTAAGCCGCATGGTTTTTGGCGGATGGGGCGTGTGGGTTATCGCAACCCACATGCGCGGACTTGCCCCCGGCAAGCCGCATGGTTTTGGCGGATGGGGCATGTGGGTTATCGCAACCCACATGCGCGGACTTGCCCTCGGCAAGTCGCATGGTTTTTGGCGAATGGGGCGTGTGGGTTATCGCAACCCACATGCGCGGACTTGCCCCCGGCAAGCCGCATGGCGTTGGCGGATGGGGCGTGTGGGTTATCGCAACCCACATGCGCGGACTTGCCCCCGGCAAGCCGCATGGCGTTGGCGGAGGGGACGTGTGGGTTATCGCAACCCACACTACCCCGTCCTGCAATCTTCAGTTACCTTCATCCTTAAAAAAAAAAAAAAAAAAAAGGTTGCATGCAGGTGTAGCATGGAGAAGGAACAAAGACATCCATTGAATATTTAAAAGAAGCATGCAGGTGCATCATGGAGAAATTGACAAAGCATACTAAATAAATGCAACAAAAGAGATGTACAGTGCAAGAAGCATCCAAGAAGTGACAATAGAGGAGTCACCTTGGCCTCTCGACACTAGGTGATGAAGCGAAGGCCAGGGCAGCTTATGGTGTGTGGCAGAGGTACGGAGTATTGGCGTGACGCACAACAATGGTGATAATGGAAGGTGGCGACGAGAGATTGAGAAAGGGAAAGAAAGGAGGTGGTGATATCGAATTCTAATTCCTTTAGGCATCAAGATACCTAAAAGAACTGGGGGACTTGTGATGGGGATATGGGACATGGGGGTCCATTTTATTGGAAATTATGGGGTGGTGAAGAAAGAGGTTGGCCCAAGTCTTATTGGGCTAAGGGGACATGGTGGCCCAAAAAGGCACAAAAGGAGGAGAGAGAAAGGGTTTCGGGGAAGAAACCGCCGGCGGCCGGCCGGCGATGTGGCCCGCCGGACTTCCGGCGGGGGCGGTGCGCCTCCGGTCATCCCGGCGGCGCCCCACCATCGTGGCCACTGAAGGCCTATGGCCATGGGTAAAATGTAACAAGAAGTGCGCTGCTGCCAGTGGGTTTCGAACACAGGACCTCCCACACAGTAAGCGCGAGTCTAACCATCAGCCCACGCCATCACATGTGTACTAAGACGTGACAGCATATATTTGTTCCTATAATCTCGGCCGGGCAGCCCGACCATCGGCCATGGCCGGCCGTTGGCCGGCCGGCGCCGGGTCCCGCCGGCCACCTCAGGCCGCGGCGCGGCCAGCGGGGGCAGTGCGCCCCCCAGATTGTCATTGGCACCCCCCCCCCTTCCCGAGGGGGTGCTGGGCGGGTGCACCGAGCATGGTGGACCGGGGTGGTATGCGCGGGAGTTTTGGAAGTATGGAGAACGTGCCCACTTGCGTAGCGATAAATGGGGAAGTGGGGATGGATTGCATGGGACACATGGACGCCAGAGGAGGAAGGGGGCTTGCTATAAATAGGGGCCCTGGATCTCTAGCTAAGGGCAACACAGACACGACCAACACTATGGTCTAGTGGTCTTGATCCATACTCTCAATCCAGTCACCTGGGTTCGATTCCTACCAGTAGCATAGTTAGCTATAGCCCACCACGTGGGCCTTATTCTTTGTAATTTGGGCCATTATTCTGAGCCTGTACCTCGGGCTTTGTACGTATTGTTTAGGGCCTAGCGCCCCGGGTAATAAAGTTAATACTTTCATACCCCCGTCCTATGTTCCTATACCCGGTTTATGGTGGACCCGGTCCTAATAAAACCATCAGATATATAACTAGTTTAATATTAACCAAGTGTTATAAAATCCATTCCACCCTCTATGTTTTAAATCTCTCATCTTTTTCAAAATCTATAATTGTTCTTAAAATCCTTATAACTCCATCAAAAAATAAAAAAACCATACCCATCACCTTAATTATGAATTCCAAAACTCACTTTGATCGAGTGTATAACTCTTCTTGTATTAATTAGACAACTCTATAAATCTATAGCTAGCCTGGCAAGTCTGGCATACATTGTTTATCAGCAAAACTTCTATGAATATTTATTATAATTTCATATTAATTCTAAAATGACTTGAATGAAAAAAAAAAATGTTTGGAGACTTTCATTTAACATCACTATTATAATTGAAGATTTAATATAATTAAATACAACAAATATCATTACATAGAAAAAGTACCACTGAAAAGGCAAAAGTAGAATAGTTCTTTCACAAAACTATAGTGGCGAATGAGGACAAACGCGAAGGGAGAATCAACATTGCAAGTTAAAAAAGCTCGCCGTTGCTGGGGATCGAACCCAGGTCACCCGCGTGACAGGCGGGAATACTCACCACTATACTACAACGACACAGTTGGTGATGAGAGGACTAGTTTTTATATATTGCTTACCTGGAACAAAGTTGCCGTTAATTGTTAACCAAAAGAAGCGCGCAGGACCGAGTTGTATTACTGAGTTCCCTTTTGTACGAGTTCACTCAGTCCATGGAAACCGCTCGATGCTCAATTTTTCTCTCTCTATCTCACACAAATGACAAGTCTCAACAGCCCAGAAAAACTAGCGCGAAAATCAGGTCTTTTGGTTGAAAACTTCATTTGTGGTTGTGGAGATGAAGCTATCTGCAATTTTTGAACTATTATTCAAATTTTCCTCTACCAAAATGGCCAGTCGGCTTAAAGGAAAACCGGGCCTTTACTCCCTCCAGGTACTCTCTCTCTCTCTCTCTCTCTCTACTCATTCCAAATCGTTGCCTCAACCTCCCTTAATTATACCTATACATACACTCATTTTATATATATGCATATATGATCCCTTTGTTTCTCTGTTTTCACTTTGTTTGTGCTGCAAATGATGATTGTGTGTGTGTGTGTATTTATAAAACTCAAATTGGCTTTATGTATATGCAGAAAGAAGAGGAAGAGAAGGAGTTTGATCTGGGATCCGACGATCCAAAGGCATTGTTTCCCCTCACCATCACTTCTCGGGTCGGGTTTTCTCAATGCTTGTACCTAATTTCCAGGGAAAAAAAAAAGAAAAAAGAGAATTGGGCATTCTGAAAAAGGTGATTATGTGATTGGACTAACATGGTGGTTTGTTATGGGTAATGCAGGCGCTATGTATGTTGGGAGATGTTACAGTGGGGCAGGCATATCAGTTTACCCAATGGATGGAGCTGGTACATAAGCGTAGTCCCAATCTTTGTTCCTCACATAGCTGACCTGAGAATACTAAAGTCCTGTTGATGCTTAATGCAGCACTTGAGCATTTACGTTCATTCAAGTTGTATTTTGGTTGATTTGTGAGCAATGTATATTCAAAACTTAGCCGCTTGATCCACTTCTTCCTTATTCAAATTTTCTGTTTCTTCAGGAAAAATGAAAATCTGGACTTGCATCCTCCTATTGATTAAAATCTGTCTTGGAATTTTAATTGTATCTTTGTTCTAGTGCAGAAGAATCAAGAAACGTAAATGATTCTGAGCAAGCTTCAGAAGTGAGTTTGTGGGAAAGACTAGGTAAAGCTGCCATGTTGGACATTGAGTCAAGTTCCTTTTCATGGAACATGCTTTCTTCTCTCCACCACATAGAGCAAACTAGTAGTACTGAGCAGTCTGAGGATGAAATGAATAAAGCATTGGAGGTAGTTAAGCCTTGACCTTCCCATTTGTTGGCTGTAAGATTTTACTTCTTCACATGAAGTGTAAACAAGTAGACATAACTTCTTTTTAATCTAGTTTTTTCCCCCCATTTTTTAGTAGTCTTGTCACCTTGCATTTTTAAGTTGCTCTTGTTCTTTTCCTGCCAAAGTAACAAAGAGCACTCTAATGGGGTCTCTGTGTGCATCTGTGCTTCTGCTTGAGTTCAATAAGAGGACAAAGAGGAAATAAATTGAGAACTTTGTAGTTTGTACTGTATCCTTTTCCCCCTTTTCCATGGGTAGAACTTGATAGTACAAATGTGGGGAGGAGGAAAATAATGTCTCCACCTGCATCTATATGACTTTAATTATTGTTTCATCATTCCATGTGAGCGTAGGTCACTGTCAACTCTGGAGGTGTAGTTTTTTTTGCACTATTCAATCAGCCTCGAAATGATGGATCTTCCCCCAAGGAAGCTGCAGCTGTTATAAAGATACCATCAAAAAGGATGGCCACCCAATCAGAACGTCTTGGCTATGAATTTGCAAAGTGGCTAGGTGTTCGAACTCCACAAGTTGTACCTCTTGCTTCATCAATTACCTTCCTATATTATTAAAATCAGAGGTTTGACTTTTTCCAAATCTAGCAGGCCAGAGTTATTCACAATTCGAGTCCTGAGTGGCTGCAGATAAAAGAAGCTGCAGACAAAGTAAAAGATGCTGCAATTTTAGAAGGGGATGAAATCAGTGAAATGACATGCTCAGAACTTTTACAAGCACTTGACCTAAGTCGCTGTGTTTTACTGATGAAGTGCGTAGAAATTTGATTTTATTCTGAAAGAGTCTTTATGTAGCTATAATGAATCTTAGCATTTATCATTGGAGATACTTAGGCACTATTTAACAAAATTAAACTGGAAAAAGAGAAGGTGCTGTTTACATGTCTCAGTGCTTTAACCCTTGTTCTTAAAGGACATTATACTTGGGTCTAGCTGGAGGATTTTTTTTCCCCCTTCTCTCTCTCTCTCTTTGCCACTACATGGTAAGGGACCCATTGAGAGGCTTTATCTATGGCATAGGAAAAATTATGAGAAAGCAAAATTCTGTTAAGTATAACCTCTAATTCAGGCAATATTTACTTCTATTGGGGCTTTGTTCATTAAGTAGCTTTCAACCATTTGTTTGTCTGCACTAAAGCTCTCTCGTTTTGTCAATTACATATATGATGAAGCATGTTAATGTGATGCTATAGTAAAGTAAATTAGTTATTCCTCTGAATTTTACTAACTACCTTTTGCAGTTACATACATGGATCCCCTCTGTTGGAGAGCTCAAATGCATTTGATTCACAGGAAGCTGCAGAAAAAACAGCAGCAGCCCTTGGCAGGGTCATGGTTTTGGACCTTGTCATAAGGAATGAAGATCGCCTTCCATGTCAACATCTCAGATGGCGTGGAAACTCAGCAAATTTGCTGTTATCTGATAAGCTGGCTACTGCAAATATGGATGGAGTGGAGGGGGATTTCAATCCTGCAATAAAGAGTTGTAGACCAAAAGTTATTCAAGCATTGCAGAAAGGGAGAAGAGCTACTTCTATTGATTCTCGGTTTTCCTCTCCTAATCCAGGATTAGTTATACAGTTCTCTGATCTCTCAGATGCCACAGAATCTTCAAAATCCAGCAGTTTTAGTGTTAAAAGCCTAACCTTAAATGAGCCAATATCTCCTGCTTTTCATATTGTAGCCATAGACTCAGGGGTTCCACGCAGACCACCTGTTGGAAAACGTGTAAATGACCAAGAAAATTATCCTAAGTTGGTTGAGCTCCTTATCAACAGTTCTGTGTATGCTTCTAATCTGTTAAACGAGATAAGTGGAGGAAAATTAGGATCCTCATCAGATGATTCAGAAATGATAAATGATTCAGATTTGGCTAAAGTGGAATCTATTACTCAAAAATTTCGATGTGGATTCCGTGCATCTCTGCGTGATTTACAGGGATTTCACATATTTCTTCTCACCCTTCATCAGAAATTAGAAATCCTTTTGCGTCTGCTTCTTAACATTATTGATAGGTCTTCCTCTGGCGATGCTGACAAAGAAGAATCGATGCATCCTGAGTCACCATCATGTGCTAGTGGAATCTCTGGTAATTTTCCTCCTTCTCCAAGCAGGGAAAGGATGGTCTATGACAACAACTTGGATTCAAATGATTCAGACTTACAGAGAGCAGCATTTAGGTCATTGTCTTCAGTATGTAAAGAGACCTTGGATACTGTTTCTCCGCTTTCTCGGGATAGTTGGCTGGGAAAAATTAGTAAGGGCAGTGGAGACTCCCTGCAAAGTGTACGTTTGGCATCAAAACTCCGTGACGTGAACAAATTTGCTAAGGTCTGTGATATTTTCATGTTTTAAAGATTTTCATTTAAGTGCATATAATCATTTTTCATTGAAGGAGTTCATGTACTACCCCAAAATTTGTCCTGTTTTCTTATTGGTCTGATGCTAACTGTTTGGAATTGATTTTGGCCATTGGTATTTAACTTTTCAAAACCCAATATCCTTTCTCAGGGAGATGCAGAATTAAACAAAGATCTAGAACAATGGAATGAGATGCTGAAAAATGATGTAGTGAAGTTGTGCCATGAAAATGGTTTTTATTCAGGATTCTTTGGAGGCAGTGATAATAATTACGTGGTTGATGCGTATGAGTTGAAGGTTGCATTCTTGTCTATAGCAGTTTTTGGGAGTTTTATGCTTGGTTTTTGGAAAATAATATTTGTCTCTTAACATTCAAACTATTGATTCTGTCAAAAACTCATTTTTACTTTAAACTCTTCACATCTTACAGGTCAGGCTTGAACACATTCTTGAAAGGATATCATTGATATCTGATGCTGCAAATACTGAAAAACCGTCAAAAGTTACAGACACCATGTTCATCGGTGGGGCACTAGCTGCAAGATCTGTATACACTTTGCAACATTTTGGAATTACACACATTTTATGCCTATGTGCCAATGAAATTGGGCAGTCAGACTCTCAGTTTCCTGCCTTATTTTTGTACCAAAACTTTTCTGTAAGTTCTCAAATCTTTCTATGCAAGCATAAGGATTCATTCCTTTGGGTGCAAACTCACCAAACGCTTCATTCTTTTAATAGCATTTTTGTGGCGATTATTTGGTATTCTGCAAACAGATTTGTGATAATGAGGACTCAAACATTACTGGTATCTTTGAGGAAGCACATGATTTCATTGATCATGTTGAAAAAATTAAAGGCAAGATTCTGGTTCATTGCTTTGAAGGGAAAAGCAGGAGTGCAACACTAGTTCTTGCATACCTAATGCTCAGAAAGTAAGTCCTGAATGTTTAATGCAATCAAACTAGTTCTGTTCTCTATATACGTATTAAAAGGCTACATTCGGTGCAGATAGCAAATTAGAAGAACATTTCCAAGTTATCTACCAGTAATGCTCACATTTCCCATATTTTAGTTTCCTAAATCATAATAAATAGTTGATCTACATAAAGCTTGGTGCACAAAAGGTTTGCAGTTAAATAGTTTGCCAGATATATTGGTTTTTGAGTAAAATGAAACATACCCCTGACTGAATCACCTTAAACTTTGCATGTTTTCATGCCTCAGTGATGATGGGGTAAGATGATTGAATGAATCTGTTTGAAACGCTTTCATGAACTGTCATTATATCAAACGACCATCATAGCTAAAACCTCTATCAATTCTATGCAAGAATCTTTACTAAAGATTGGTGGTGCAGGAACTTCACTTTATTGCAAGCATGGAATACACTGAAGCTGGTGCACCGGAGAGCCCTACCTAACGATGGTTTTGCGAGGGTTCTTATGGACCTCGATAAGAAGTTACATGGTGTGCTCTCCCTCGAATGGCAACAACGGAAACCAACAATGAAGGTATGCTCCATATGTGTAAACATTGCTGGCTTAAGCAGCAGTTCACTTAATCTTCATTTGCAGAAAGCCCACAAGAAACAGCCAACTGGAAGCATGGATACTACGATGAGCATGGAAATGCAGAAGGCGCTGGATGCTCTGCAAATAACCCGAATTGGAAACGTCAGCCCTACACCAATGGAGCGCCATTCGCTGACAGATTAATAGGAAGGTTTGGGCAATTTTATTTCGGTCTCGAGTAATTCATACACATCCTGTTTCCACAAAGAAATAACTCTGCAACAACTTTTTGAGCTTGTGTAGTGACACTGTCCATGGAGTAATCTAAATTTTGGTATAATGACA